TTTTAAAGTAATCTTTCACTTATGATAGCCGTTTTCCATTAACAGAAGCATTCCATCTGGGAACAATTTTAAAATAATTGTGTTGTGGTTGTCAAATTGAGTCCCTTCCAAATTTATGTTGTATGAAGAGCTACCACTTTATATTCAACTCTACAGATCCTGCTTTTGAAATCTTGTCACTTTTTAAAAGATCTGTTTTATAGCTGCCATGGTTCAGATATAAAGTGCTTGTGCACGCCTTCTCCTCCTTGCACACCGTTACTCCCACCTCCCTTCCAAGAGACTTGTTAATCATTTTGGTGAAGAGCTTTTACAAGGATTGCCTGAATGTGAATCTTAGAGAGCGAAAAGAACTTTCTCAAGTCCCCTCAGAGTGAACACTAGAACATAGGGTGGTCTTTTAACCAACCCGTATCCATTAATGTGGCTCCAGGTTGATTTTGGAGTAACCATTCCTCTTGCTTGCAAGTGAAGCAGTGGCCTAAATTATTTTCCATCGTATGAGATACTGTAACACCCTTTAAAAAGGTAAAGGTTCCGACTTCTGGTGACTTCCGGTATGGCGTTGCGACAGGCGGGCACGGTCGCGCCTCGCCGTGGCCCTTCGCGAATCCTAGAAGCCCCTCGATCTGTCGGGGGGGCTTCTCCTGACCCTCCTGGAGGGAGGGTTGGCAGCAGAGGGCTTGTGGCAGCCCCACCCCGAACTCGGCACTCGGGGGGGATGTCTGCTATTGCCCTAAAGCAGGACGCGGAGCGGAGGAGGCATGGCTCCATGTCTCCACAGCAATGGCCATCCGAACTTTTACTGTGGTGGTGTTTCTTTTCAACTTTTGTTGCGAGGACTATTTTCCATGTCGCACTGAAGAGGCGGTTGGCAAGCACTGTTGGTGAGCACTGTTACTGAAGCGGATATCTATTACCCCCCCTCTGTGGATTTTCCCTCAAGGTTAAAAAAAAACGGCCGGAGAGCGTGCAGGGGAAGCAAGTAAGAAGAATGCTGAGGGGGTAAGAGATAATTTATTTGCTGGAAATATTCTCTTCTGTGTTTGGCTAGACGAAGAAAAATACTAGAAGCATTTGCTACAGCTGCGCAAAGTCTGATAGTAAAAAAAATGGCGGCGGCGTCTATTTGTGACAAAGTAATGGCAGATCTTAAATCGGAACTTAAATCGGAACAGTTTCAGGAAAAGCTAAGAGAGGAAATGGGCAAAGCACTTCAGTCGGTTTGGGACAAGATGTTTAGAAAGCCCCAGAATTTATGTGCAGAGGATAAGAATGAGGAAGAAAGAACACGAGGGATACGAGCCCAAAGTGACTACCAGGACTATGACTATGAGCAGACGGAAGAGCAACAGGAAATGCAGTTTGAGTTGCAGCAGCTGGATAGAAAAGAAAGGACAAAAGAAGCTGATTTGACAAGAGATACTTTGGAAAGAGGGAAAACATTAAAAAGACGAAAGACAAAAAGAAGTCGGTTTAAGCCTTTTTGGAGAGAGAAGACATTAGTACAGAGGCGAAAAATAAAGAAAGTTACAAACGACTGTGATGATTCCAATCAACTGAATGAGGAAGTATGCAAATACAAAAGACTCTCTATGGAGATTGGGTTAAAGGAGTATAAAAATACTAGACATGTGCAAGAAAATAGGGGATATCGGATTAAAAAGGAGATACAGTATAAGTTTACGAGAATGAGTAACATAATTTGGCATATTTTGTTTTAAGTGAGTCCTAAATCCTTGAAAAACAGCGGCATAACAGGATGGAAATATGTGGAAAATTCATAGGTTTATGTAAATGGGATGGATGGTAATGTGAATATTAGGAATTTTTATTTTTGCCCTAAACAGACTGCCTAAAGAAAAGTATATCAGTTGTCAGTTAAAAAGATAGAATTGGCTATGATAATCAAGAGCAGGAAAGAGAAGGGCAAGAAATGACAGGATGAAACCGATAGATGATTGTTTGGTAAGCATGTCAGTTTGTGTAATTAATATAGATTGCCCATAAATCCAGATTGAATGGAAGAAAACTTGATTTAGAATTTGTTGATTAACGCATAAATGTAATACAATATAACTAAGATTGGGAGCTATTTAGAAGGCTTAAGAAAGTCAAAACTGAACTTGGTTATATCATGCATTAAACTTGATTAAGATGTTTTTTTTCTCCTTGCTAAATGATGAATTGTATTGTATTGATTTATATTTCCTGCATATATCTGCCTTAAATCTAGACTGAATGGATGTAAGAGAGTCAGTAGATTAATTGCTGGAGGATAGGTAATTAGGATCATGAGGCTGCTAAGATGCAATGGTTAATAGGTTAGTTTAAGATAAAAAGAATGTACTTAAACCTAAACAGGTAATCAGTGTGATATGGGAAGAAATAGACTAGGTAATGGGATGGGTGGGTGATGGCTATTTGTTTGTGTTTTGTTCCGAGGTGGTTGTCATACATGTTTACTTGTTTGTATTTGTTGGTGTGTTGGTAAAGTGGTAGAAAATCAATTAAAAAAAAAAAAAGGTAAAGGTTCCCTTGCTCGAAAGCCAGTCAAATCCAACTCTAGGATTGCGGTGCTCATCTCCGTTTCAAAGCCGAAGACCCAGCGCTATCCAAAGTGATTTCTGTGGTCATGTGGCCGGCATGACTAAACACCAAAGCGCACGGAATGCTGTTACCTTCCCACTAAAGTGGTACCTATTTATCTACTTGCAATTTCTTGCTTTCGAACTGCTAGGTTGGCAGGAGCTGGAACTAGAGACGGGAGCTCACTCCGTCATGCGGCACACTCGGGTCTCGAACTGCTGAACTACCGACCTTCCACAGCCTGCAGTTCAGCATCTTAACCACTTGAACCACCGCAGCTCCGTAACACCCTTTACCCAGGACAAAAACAGATTAAAAATTAACAGCAAATTTGTCACATTTGTTAATCTGTTTCCTCATTTTAGCCTATCCAGCTTAATCATAGAAAGCCGAGCAGATGCTACAATTGGCTCATGCAGGCCCTGAATTTAAGTTATCTGCATTATTAGAATTATGCATTTCTTGCTTGTTTAATTTATCTGTTGTTGTTTTAATTTCAAGGAAAATCTTCATTCTTTTACAAAAGAAGTTCACAAACTCATTCACAAAGACCTGCCATTTGAAGTCCTCGATGTTGATATAAAAGTGGCACTTAAAATATTTCAGCACAACCAGTGAGTATTAACATAGGTCTTCTGCAGAAGTATCAGTCATCTGATTTTCTGGGATCTGTTATAATTCAGCACATACATGGTTATAT